ATTTCTGCAATCATTCTTCATATGTTTTAGCCTCCAGCCCCCTCATCCTCTTTGTTGCTCTTCCCTGCACTCTTTCCAGAGTCTCCACATCTTTTTTACATCGTGGCAACCAAAACTGGATGCGACATTCCAAGTGTGGCCTTACCAAGGCCTTATAAAGTTGCCTTATCTCTTCACCTGATCTTGATTCAGTCCCTCCGTTAATGCAGCCCAGGATGGCATTGGGCTTTTTGGCAGGTGCCGCACACGGCTGGCTCAGATTTAAGGGATTGTCCACTAGGGCTCCAAGATCCCCCTCGCAGTTGCTGTTATGGAGCCAGGTACGCTACAGGTGTGCAAGAGAAAGAAACTGGCTCAGACTTCATACGGGTAGAGTGCTGGACGGTTGGAGCAAGGCCAAGGTGTCCTTGTCCTGAAAGAGGGGGTAGGGTCAGCCAGAGACCTGAAAAGATTCTGGAGAAGAACCTGGAAACATCTGGAAAAGAATGAGGCCATTAACTGAAGTCAACCTGGACTGTGCCAAGACTCACTTTAACTCCAGGGGGTTCTTAGTAGATTGATGGAATGCCCTCGAAGTGATCTATCTTAATTTCAGCCAAGCATTTGATAAACTTCTTCAAGACAGCTTAATTAGCAAGCTAGGTAAAGGTGGGCTGGATGGCCTCACAATTAAGTGGCTGCTACATGGCCGGAATGGAAATTGCTCTTTTAAGAGTGGTCACGGATGGCTCCCCTCATCTGAAGGGAGATCTTAAGTGGATCGCCAGCAGATCCGCCCTGGCTCCTCTTCTCTTTAATGGTTAACGACTCAGAGGAGAGATGGATTCAGTCACGATCACACCAACACAACAGAAATTGGGAGGAGTAGCTGACACTGTAGAAGACGAGTGAAGCTCAAAGTGACCTGGATAGGTTAAGAAGTAGGATAAAAGTAATAAAACGAGATTTAACAGGAAAATCCAAAGTGCTTCACTTAGCAATCAAAGCTCCGATGTGCGAAGAGAGAACCGAGAATGTCTTGCAAAAACATTTTCATAATGAACTTCGAATGAATTATAAAATCGAGAGGTAGTCCTCACATAGCGACTGTCACATACAGCAACTGTTTGCAGTTAAGAGTGGTAATAAAAAAAGTATCTTTGCGACCAATCCTCACAAGTATGACTTTCTCAGGCCTGCAAAGCAAAGAAAGAGCTGAAGTTGGATCAGAAGCACAGCCCGGTTTCACTTAAAGACTGCTTTGGTTAACAACCAGGTTGCCGGACTCTATTATGGTTGCTAAACGAGGATGAGCTGTGTTAGGGCTGCCAATTATTAGCCAAGCAGGCAAATTCTCCGTGTTATGGGTGACCATCACTCCATTCTGCTTGGAACGGAGCTCCCCTCAAGCATTCCGTTCCCCTTCAGTGCGGCCCCTTTTAAGAAGGACTTGGACATCTGGACAGGTTGAGAAGAGGGTGACAAGGAAGGCGATGGTGGGGCCAGAGAGGGCTTAGACTTCCAAAGAGGAAACTGAGGGATGATAGAAGCCAGAAGATCGAGACTTGCCCTCCCTCGTTCCCTTGTGAGGACCCAGAATAATGGGGGTTAAAAGGACAGGAAGGCAGATTCAGATGGCATGTTGGAAAAAACTTCCCCAAAACAATGGCAGCTGGACATGTGATGGAGGCGGGCTGCTCTTCCCTGGGGTATCCAAGGAGAGGCTGGACGACCATCGGGACAGACGACCTGGATGCCAGTCCGAGCAAGAGATGGGCAGCCCAGCGTTCCCGGGCTCTCCTCTCAGCCTCCTTTCTCCCAAATAACTTCAGGGCCTTCAGCACCCCTTCGTTCGGCTGCAGGGCCAGGGGGGCTCATTTGGGGTCACTTGAGATCTCCTACTAATGTCGAGGTGCGGGGCATTCTGCTCCTGAAACAAAGGCAGCGCTTCCTACATCTGACAGGGCCACGAAGGCTGCGCAGAGCCCTTTGGGGTTATCCCAGGGGTTAATGAGTGGCAGCTCCCCATTCTGGGCCAACTCTTGCTGGGGTCTGCGGAGGTTCTGCCAAGGCGAAGGGTCTTTCTGCTGCCTTGCGAAGGAGTAATGGGAGAAGGCAGCCGTTGGTGAGGGGGAGGGGGGCTCCCTGGGGTCCTAGCAGAAGCAGCAGCGGGGGAATGAGGAGGAAACCCCAGAGGCTTCCTTGGTTCAGTGGCAGGAGGAGGCCTTCGAAGATGAAGCCAACGGGCAGATTTGCTCAAGCCGAGTGTCAAAGGCGAACGTCCGCCAACTCAGCCAGTCCCCATGCTGACGACACGGGCAGCAATCGGAACACCTCCCCCCAGAACGGCTTTGACGGGAGAAGGGGAGGCAGGTCTGTGTCTGTGTGTGTTACAAAGAGCTCCCCACTGAGCAGTGCTCCATTGGAGATGAAAAGCAGCCAGAAAGAGGGAAGAGGGAAGAGAAGGCAACTCCTTCTCCTACAAGCATCACAGCAGAAAAGCCCCTCTTCTCTACAGCCTCAGGGGAGAAGAACAGAATCAGAGAGTTGGAAGGGACCTTGGAGGTCTTCTAGTCCAGCTCAAGCAGGAAGACTCCCTGCCATTCCAGGCAAATGGTTGTCCAGGCTCTTCTTCAAAGCCTCCAGTGCTGGAACATCCACAACTTCTGGTGGCAAGCTTTTCTGCTGGTTAATGGTTCTCACTTTCAGGAAGCTTCTCCTGAGTTCCAGGTTGCTTCTCTCCTGGATTAGTTTCCACCCGTTGCTTCTTCTCCTGCCTTCAGGGGCTTTGGAGAATAGCTTGACCGCCTCTTCTTTGTGCAGCCCCTCAAATACTGGAAGAGTGCCATCCTATCACCCCTAGTCCTTCCTTTTCACCCACTGCCAGCCCGGGGGGTGGGGGTGTGTGAGCAGAGGGTCCCTGGTGGGAGGGGGCCTTGGAGGCCTCCAAGATGGAGGCTGCCCACTGCTTAGCAGCTTTCAGGACCCTCACCTCCCCAAAGCCCTGATGACCTGCCTTTCCTTTCCTTTCCTTGAAAGCCTCAGCTGACCCCCTCAATCCAAGCTACTTCCTGGTACTCTGCTTTCCTTCCCTGCCTTTCTTGCCTTTTAAAAAACCTGCCTTTTTGTTCCTTGCACTTCGGGGAAAACAGCGCCTCCCCCCCCCCCCCCCCATTTTTTTTTCCCCTCCTTTCTCAGAAGTTGTGGTTGCTGCATCCCTGGAGGCTTTCAAGAAGAGACTGGACGGCCATCTGTCAGAAATGGTGTGGGGTCTCCTGCTGGGGCGGGGGTGGATGGTGGACTAGATGATCTACGAGGTCCCTTCCATTTCTCTGTTAATCTGCTGTTCCCCACCTGAGTTCCCAGCGCCTGAAGGAAGCCTCCAACATCCTTCAGCAGTAAAACAAACCATTTCCAACATCACTTCAGAAACCCTCCCTCCCCCCCTCTCTCTTCCGCCCTCCCCCCCTCTCTCCAACGCACACAGACCCTATTTAGGCCCACTGCGCAGCCCCCATCAGCAGCTACCCTGGAGAAGCAACGCAGGGCAAAGTTTCAATGAGAGTTTTCACCAGCATCCTTGGCTGTGTATTGCTGAGGACAGTTGCCCCCTCCCCTTATTCTACAGACAGGGGGCTTCTGTTCAGTCTGGAGAGGAGCTTGGCTCTTTCCCCCAGGATCCCTCCCCACATATCCCGGGTCCCTTTCCTTTCAAGGCCAGAGATGGGATTTTAAGGAGGTCCTGCAAAACACTTCGGGCCTCTGGAAGGGAAAGTGATTAAGCTTCTTGATAACTGGCCTGCCCATCCTCTGTGGCAGTAATTAAAAATCCCCTCTTTGAAAGAGCCCCTAATTGGCTTAGTGGATAAGCAACCTGCGGGAAAGAGCCACCTAAATGGCCCAGGCTCCGGCCTTCCAAGGCAAGACGGGAAGCGTCCCTCCGTCCGTCTGTCGGTCACCTCTCTTGCTGGGCCAATTCCGGCTCTGCCCATTTTCCTTGCTGGCATTTTACAACCGAGGCCTGGCTTTGGCAAGCTTTAGGGTGGGGATGGGCAACCCACGGGCTGTGGATCGTGGCTATCCCAGCGCCAAGATGGCGAGTTTTCAATGTTGCAAATTTTGGGTATTTGCTTTCAAAGGAGGAGGACGAAAAGGGAGGTGGGAGACCTCTGAGAGGGAAAGCACCCCACTCCCACCTTCAAACAGCCCCCTTTGCTAGGGTGAATGTCAGGATGCAATTCCAGGCTATTTTCTTCGGGAGCAGCTGCTCTCCCCAAATCCTCCCCAAGAGAAGGCCAGACCTCCCCCCGCAACTCTCCACCTCCAGCAAATCAATAAAAGCAAATTGCAAGCTGCACCCAGCCAAAGACTCCCCCCCTCCTTCTCTACTTCAGGCAATTATTGAGTGTGATGTCTGAAGACACACCCACACCCACGAGGGCTTTTTCCATGGTTCCCAGAGGCTGTGAGGTCAGCAGGATGAAGGCCCAGGCAACCCTTCTGCTTTGCCAGCTGCACTGTGCCACTTGCTCCCAGGTGCCCTCCCAGGTGCTGGCCACTGCCTGCAGAGGCCTTTACGGGGCCCGGTTATTTGAGGGAGGTCTCCCCCCATTTGCATCGACCCATCCTATTAGACATGGCAGGAGAGGCCGGCTCCGGGTCCCCTCAATTAAACAAGGTAGTCTATTGGGGCCCCAGAAGCGCACCCACTCTGCCCCTCTGGAATGGGGTTCCCCATGATTCAAAGGATACCCCCCACCCCCCAGTTGCTGGTGGCTTGAAGGACCTTGAAGGGCGGACTCTGTCCAGGCCACTGAGGAGGGTGACCGGTGCCCCCTTCGGACGAGGTGGGCTTATTTCTTTTTTCTTCCTTGTTGTCGTCTTTTATTCTTTCATTTTGCCTCTCCCTGCACTGTTTTCTTGCCTTTTATGCTTTCCTTGTGAGCCCCCGCCCCAGAGTCGCCAGGAGCCGAGTGGCATTAAAATGTTACTCATAATAGAAAAACAGGATCCTCACTTACAACACTGGGAGGCTGCAGGAGGCATCAGCTGCTGCTGGTCATCTTCTGTGGGAGACGGCTGAGAGAGAGAGAGAGGGAGAGAGGGAGGAGGGGGAGAAGGTAAGGGCAGAGGAAGCTCTTCAGGATTCAACGGTGGCACCTCAACCACCCGCCACAGAGCCACCTTCAGGGGCTGCCAGAGAAGTGACGGCACCTGCCAATGCCCCATCCTGCCTGGGGGGCAGAAGCACCACACTCGGCCAGTTTCCGGAGCCAGCAGGGACATCTCCCTCCAGCTGCCTGAGCAGCCGAGCAGCCCTCCCTCCCTCTGCAGGCACTGAGCCTGCTCCTTAGTGGCCACAGGAACAGAAGAGCAAAACCGTAGTTACGTGGCCACTTCATATGGGAGATATGAAGAAGAGCCTTGGTAGTACAGGGGTTTAAGGCACCCTGTTATTAAGCTGGTTATTAAGACCAGCTGCCTGCAATTACTGCAGGGTTCGAATCTCGCCAAGGCTCAAGGTTGACTCAGCCTTCCATCCTTTCTAAGGTAGGTGAAATGAGGACCCAGTTTGTGGGGGCAATAAGCTGACTTTGTATAAATATACAAAAGGATGAAGGCTACTGCTGAGCACATTGTAAGCCGCCCTGAGTCTTCGGAGAAGGGCGGCATATAAATCAAATTAAAAAAAAGAAAAAAAAAAAGATGGGCAGCATAAAACAGAAAGAAAGGAAGGAAGGAAGGAAGGAAGGAAGGGCAGTACCTCCCCCTCCCTTTTTCAAAGGGTCTTTCCCCGCCCTTTCCCCTCTCCCTCCCTCCCTCCCTCCCTCCCTCCCTCTCCATCCAAAAAGTCCTGCAACGTCCTCAAAAAAATCCTTGTGCATTGTTTGGCCTAAAATACAGGGAGTCCTTGACTTACGACCACAACTGAGCCCAAAATGTATGTTGCTAAACAAGACAGGTGTTAAGTGAATTTGCCCCATTTTGCGACCTTTCTTGCCCCAGTTGTTAAGTGAATGTTGCAAAAGGGGATCACATGACCCCACGACTCTGCGACCGTCATAAATATGAGTCAGTCGCCAAGGGTCTGAATTTTGATCATGTGACTGGTGTGAAAAAACAGTCTCAAGGCCCTCTTTTCAGGGCTGTTGTAACTTCAAATGGTCACTAAATGAATGATCGCAAGTTGAGGACTACTTGTGTATATAAGGAAACGGGGGAGGGGGGGGCAACTTCACCTGTGCATGCCCAGCCCAGCCCCGCCCGTCTCACACCTGGTGGAGCCACCCCAGGCACCCTGCACACGGGGGGGGGGGGGGCACTGTTCCAGCTTCTGCTACAGCCCCTCCCCCCCAAAACTCCCCCAGCTTGGCCCAAGCTATACCCCTCCACAAAAAAAGGGGGCAGGTTGCAGCCTCGGATCGAGATTTCTTTCTCCTTCTTTCTCACAGAAGACAGCGGTTAAACAGCCAAAATTATAGAACACAACAGTGCGAACTGGGGGGGGGGGAGGGAACCCCATTCATCACAGAGTTTGTACCTTATACAAAGATCGGCAAAGCACAAAAGGCCAATTAACGCTATGAGCTGCAATCCGTCTTAAAACTTAACCGAGTTCCATACATTTTGCTCAGCAATTATACCCAAACGATTTTCAAATTACTCATGTGATTGTTTCAGTATAATTACAGGCGCCTGAATATGACCTACATTCTTTACAATAAGTGCCTTTTCCCTTTGGAAAAGCAGAACGTGCAGATTTCTCAGCCCTCCCTTCCACCCCACCACCCTCCGTCCCACCACCAGGCTACCCCCTTACAAAGCTGATCCCACGGAAGAAGCTTGCCTGGGGGGAGGGGGCTGCCTGTGAGCAAAGCCTTCCTCATTCTGCCCTGTGCCCAGACTGTCCAGCCCTGGAGGGAGCGGGCAAGGGGGGTCCCCTCTGCCCAGGGAAGAGCGGCTCCCACCCAACTTCCTGGGGTTCATTAACTTGGGCTGTCATCATGTCAGCACCTTCCCGAGGTCTCCGGGGGAAGAGCAAGAGCCTCTACAGCCCTCTCTAAGCGGTTTACAGAGTCAGCCTGTTACCCCCAACCATCTGGGTCCTCATTTTACCGTCCCGGGAAGGATGGAAGGCTGAGTCAACATGGAGCTGGTCAGGATCAAACTCCAGGCTATAGGAATGCCATTTATCCTGCAACACTACGCTCTGGCCACTGTGCCACTGCTGAGAAACGGCAGGAAGTCCCCTCACAGGAGTCTGGCTACCCAGTTCAGGATCCGACTGTGCTGCAGCTAGAAAGGGCCCCCAGCGTAAGACGACCTTCGGAGAGCTGAGCAAGAGACCCACCTCTTCCTCTTCCTCCAGCGAGTTCATCTGCTTCAGCTTCTTGGTCCAGTATTTAGCTTCTTCCTCAGGAATGTCTGCAGAGGAGCAAAGAAGCACCAACCTTGAATGCGGGGCAGGCCCACCGTGCAAATGTCCAGCCCCCCCCACCAGCCCTGCCCTGCCCTGCCACCCCCCAGCCAAACCCACGTCTGAACAGCCTTGGCATCTGGGTTGAGGGCCAAGGCTCGTCCTGGGAAAGCGGTGAAGAACCTCCGTGCTGCTCCCCTGGGACAGATGGGATGATGGGAGGCTGGTCATGGGGAGGGGGTGAGGTCAGTCTCAAGGGGCTTCTGTGGTGGAGAAGCCTCCCTTTCATCTCCACTGAGGCGTTTCTGGCACCAGAGACGCTCCAGGCCCCTTAAGGTCACGTTCCCCACGGACAGAATCTTCCATGGCTTTTAATCGTCTGCTTTTTAAAAATGTAAGCTTCTCCTTTCAGGACTGTATTTTGGGGCTTATGGAGTTGCTCTCCTTCTCCTTTTGCAATTAAGGGTCTGGTCAGCAGAAGGACCTTTTTCTTCAGGTTCACTCTGGCTGCATTGTTGCATTTTACATTTTAAGTAAAAGTCTTCCCCCCGTGTTGCCTTGGGAACTGTATTTTGAGAAACTAACAGATGTAAATAGATAAGCAGCGTAGACCTCTCTCTCTCTCTCTCTCGTGCACAGGCACAGAGTTCGGTTGCCCAAAGGACGGATTTCTTGGCACCACAAATGTTGGGCTGCCCCTTGCAGGTCTCCCCGTTGGCAGCCGCTTCTCTTCTCCGGGAGCCCCCAGCCTGGCTTTAAGGAAGGCTCCCTCTTCCGCTTCCCAACTTAGGCCGAGGAACGGAAGGAATGAAAACCCCACCAAGCAGAGGCCCCGGGCAGGATGAGGGCCGGCCAGGAGCTGCCTCCGGACAGAAGTGGCACCTGCCATTGTTCTCCTGACAGCATTTTCAATAACGAGACTGGGATCGCTGCCGTGAACAGGGAGCTCCAAAACCAGCCAGCCTGGGCTTTTGACTGGGCTCAAGAAGAGGAATAGAAATTGCAAGGCAGAGCAGAGCCCTCCAGGCCAGACACAGCCCAGATTCAGAGGCCTCTTCCTTCAGGCTAACAACTTCCCTACCTATAAAAGTTTCCTAGCAAAACTTTGGCAGAGCACAGAATCAGACCGGAAAGGATCTTGGAGATCATCTAGCCTAACCCCTGCCTGGTGAAGGAATCCGTTGTTGCAGCATCCTAGCAAGCGGCCACGTCTCACGAGGGAGAGTCCACTGCACGGTTGACGGGCTCTTCCTGTGGGGAAATTGCCCTGAAAGTCCCACCAAAGCCAGCCTTCTTGGGATTGAAACCCTGGGATTCTGCCCGCCCTGGACGGAATGGCCCCGTGAGATGTTCAACAACAGTTATGGCGTCTTCTCTGGGCTCAACTTACCCAACAGGTACAAAATATGGGGGTTTTTTTTAATGTAATGATTTATTAACAATGTTTAACGGTTACTGTGCTTTGTATTATGATTGTTGTGGCTTATTTTTAGTTTTATCTACTGTAAGCCACCTACATCCACTCCAATAGGCAGCCCTGAGCCTTATGGATGAATGCACATAAGTTCATCGGCCAATCCATCCATCTTGCTCCCCACAAGTTTTTCCTTCCACGTAACTCCCCCCCGTCCTATCTAGGCTGCTCTTCCCTGGACATGCCCCCACTGGCCAATGGCTTTCCACAAACGCAGTGCCCGAACTGGGGGCAAAAAATCCACACGTGCCCCCCCCCCCAATGCAGGATGAAGGAGCGATGACGACCCTTGATCTGGCCGTGACGTTATCTGTTAATGTCCTATAGGGTGGCTTTTGCTTTCTTACAGCTGCATCGAACTAGTGGCTCAGACTCAGCTTGTGATCCACTAAAACACGGGTTCTGTTTGCAGGTGCTGCTGCCTGGCGCACCTTCTGACTTTTACTACCCAAAGGGACCGGGCAGGGCCAGTCTAGAGAAAAGAAGGGGCGGCATGGTAGCAGAGTTCCACTATCTGAGGGGCTCCACCTGTTCTCCAAAGCACCTGAGGGCAGGACAAGAAGCGATGGGTGGAAACTAATCCAGGAGAGAAGCAACCTGGAATTAAGGAGAAACTTCCTGACAATGAGGACAATTAACCAGTGGAACGGAAGTTGCCACCAGAAGTTGTGAATGTTCCATCACTGGAGGCTTTGAAGAAGAGACTGGGCAGCCATTTGTCTGGAAAGGTCGAGGGTCTCCTGCTTGAGCAGGGGGTTGGACTGGAAGACCTCCAGGGTCCCTTCCAGCTCTCTTCTGACTGATCGATGGGAGGATTCGGCGTGGCTTCCTCATCTAAGCCAGCCTGCTGACTTCTGCCTGTTTTTCCAACTTGTCAAGACCCTCCGGAGTTCTGAGGGGGCCCTTCAGTGGTTTCTGCCTCTCTCCCTTTGTGAATCTGAGCAGATTCGTCAACTGCAGGGCCCTGATCCAAACGTGCGTCAGGCAGCCCAGGGCCTGGGATGCAGAGCCAGAGTTTGCCCCTCCAGGCAAGGAATCCACCCAAGGGAAGGGCAGCCCAGGCCCAGGTGATCGTTTCCATGGGGATTTAAGGGAACTTTTGCTAAGGTCAAGATCCAGGCCACCCTCCACCTTCCTGTCGCCAGCTAGAGCAGGTGGTCAGCTTGGCTAACCCCTGCTGGCTCCTGGCCCGGATTCTCCCCAATCAACAGCTTCATGATCCATTCGGAAGTTTTGCCTGGCTCCTCACTGCTGACAATAAAAGCAGTGCCCCCCCCCGCCCCGCAAACCTCTGGCATTCCACGAACACGGGTGGGGGGGGGACACGGGACTCTGAGATGGCCCCCCATGAGCTCCTTCGAGACTCCTGGACAACTGGTCTGGCTGGAGACTGCAACTCCATCAGGCCCTCCGGGGACTCCTAACTCTCCCGTTTCCTGGTCCCTTCTGGTGATCCTGCCCAGCTCCGTTGGGATTCTTGGGGGAGAATATGCAGGGAAGCAGAAGCCCTGCTCTTGGCCCTTTCCTTCTTCCTCTCCAGCCCCTTCCCCCTTGCAACAGATCCCTCCCTCCCTCCCTTCCATTCATTAACCGCCCATCTTATCACAAGGTAACTCTGGGTGGTTTACAGTAAAAGATGAAATATTACAAAAACTATACACAATACAAGTTAAATAGTAGACTTTTTCTGACTCGGACTACTGATCCAGCCAAAAACCCCTTTTTTCCCTTGCTTTTATCTTCCCTCATGAGCATCTGCTCCAGTTGTGCCTCAGCCTCTCACTCCTCCTTCCTACAAGTATTTCCCATTTGCTGATGTTTAACTCCACCCACCTTCAATTCCTGGGCATGTTTCACCGAGATTTCCTAAACTCCCCTCCCCACTTTCTTCCCACAGGGGGACATTTCCGGCATCTTCTTCTTGAGAAGTTTCCAGCTGTCCCATCCATTCTTCACCTGGAGGATTTCTACCCGAGGATCCGGCTGAAAGTGGTTCTCCTGAAACCTGGTGTGATTATGATTCAGTGTCTTATTCCGTAATTTTCTGAACCTCAAGATAACCCAAAGATATTTTCTTCCCAAAAGGCACCTGGACTTTCTTGGGGTTTTTTTTCTTTGAAGAGGTTTTGCTTCTCATTCACGAAGCTTCTTCCGTTCTGACTGGTGGGGGTGGAAAGATTTATATTCCTTGTAGTCACCTGGTCCTTGGCACTCTGACCTGGGTGATTGAGACTCTCCATAGACATTTAAATCTCAAGGTTACTTAGTTCTGGCCTCCAGAAGTTTCCACTGCTTTTATTTCTTTCAACCAACCTCCTCACCTAAGACCAGACCGAGAGGAGCCGATTCCCCCCTTTTCTTCAACCTTTGGGAAAGTGAAACTCCTGCTGACAGTTGTCCTTTATGGCTCTTTCCCTGGAATTTAGTCCTAGAAAGAAACCTGCCACTAAATGCCCACCATCCACCCTCAGGGAGAAAAGCTCAGCCACACTCACCAAAAGGCAATTCGAATCTCGTGTCCAGCAAAATTTTGTGCGGTGTTGGGTTTTTGGTGCCGCAGACCTCCTGTCCATTCATCAGAACCTCGGCCTCCAGGGTGGACCACTCCCCGGGACCTTCCTGAATTGGGGAGAAGGCTGGCATGAGAGAGGCTCCTTCGGCAGACTCAGCCAGCAGGCGCCAAAGGCCCGGAGGAGAACAGAGGGCATCAGCGAAGCCCCTCGGCCTGGCCGGACATTCACTGCCCTGCCAGCTGCTGTCCGGATGTCCTCTGCCCACTCCAAAGCTGAACGAGGCGTCTTCTCCAGGCCATGGAAACCAATTCACGAAGGCTATTCTGAATCTCTTGACCAACCTGTGATTCAGTCACAGTTGCCCCGAAGGTGGTTTTTCCAAAAAAACAATTGGACTTTTGTGTTTTTTTCCTTTGAAAATGTTTCACTTTTCATCCAAGAAGCTTCTTCAATTCTAATTGACTGAAAAACTGAACTGATTGCTTCTGTTCTCCACCAGTCAGTTAGAACAGAAGAAGCTTCTTGGATGAGAAGCGAAATGTTTTCAAAGGAAATAAAAAACAAGGAAGTCCGGTTGCCTTTTGCAAAAAGCACGTTTGGGATCAACCCCCATTAAAAAGAGTTGAGAAAGGGGCGCCCTTCCCAGCACCCCCCTGCCCTGCCCCTGCCCTGGGGGCACCTCTTTGCTCAGAAGGAAAACCCACGCGAAAAGAGCGGGCAAAACCCACACCGCTGGGAAAGGCCAGATTTAGCCAAATCTGGGGAGGGGAGGGGAGAGGGGAAGGAAGGGGGGCTGTTTCAGTCAAATACAGGCAGCCCCTGACTTAGTGTTCACTTAGAGACCGTTCGAAGTTCGAAGTTGCAATGGCACTGAAAAGAACGACTCATGGCCATTTCCCCCCCTTATGACCATTGCAGCCTCCCCCTGGTCACCTGATGAAAAATCAGCCACTTGGCAACTGACTCATACTTATGACTGTTGCTATGTCCCAAGTCACATGATCCCCTTTTGTGACCTTCTCACAAGCAAAGTCAATGGGGAAGCCAGATTCACTTAACAACTGTGTGACTAATTGCAGTGATTCACTTAATAACTGTGTCAAGAAAGGTCACAGAATGGGCCAAAATTCACTTAACAAAACTCTCACTAGCAACAGTTCAGTTGTGGTCATAAATCGAGGACTCCCTGTATTTCAATGCCTCAATCTTGACCCAGAGGAACCTCAGAAGCGAAGGAGGTGCATGGACACCCGGGGGAGGGGGGGGAGTCCTCAGGAGCCGGGCGTGGTTAAGCATTGGGAAATACAGGGGGTCTTCAACTTACAACCACAATTGGCAGCAGAATTTCTGTTGCTAAGCAAGGCAGTTGTTTCAGGGAATTGCACCGGATTTTACAACCGTTTTTCTCACGGATGTTAAGTGAGTCCGGGTTCCCTTGTTGGGCTGGGCTGGTGGGAAGCCGGCTGAGAAGGTTGTAGCTGGAGATCACGTGACCCTGGGACCCTGCAACCATCTTTCAGGAAGGCTGGTTGCCCAGTGCCCGAGTTTTGACCACAGGATTGTGGCAGTCGTAAGTGCGAGGACCAGGCGTAAACCACTTTCTTCAGTGCCCTGGTGACTTCAGACGGTCCTGGTTCAAGGGCTAAAATCCCAGGGAAGAAAACTGTCAAACATTCTTGAAGCTGCAGGGCCCAAAACCTCCGTTCAGGTTTTGATGAATCTGTACTAAATCCAAATTTGGCCAAGCCCCCCCTTGGTTCTCCGGCTGCAGCTCAGCCCCTTTCCCCCTTTGAGGTGTTCAAGCACCACCCAGGAACTAGAATTCAAGAGCAGGGGTAAGATTTGGTGCGGAAGGCATGGGGAGGATGGATGGGATGCATGGGAGGTGCTGTGAGGGCTGGGGAGCCTGCGCAAAGGGTGCCCAAGGGTGCGAGGGAGGCATGGCAAGGGTCAGGGAAGGTGCAGGGGGGCACGAGGGGGTGTGCAAGGGTACGAGGGAGGTGTGCAGAGGAGGGTTGGTGAGGGAGACGCAACAAGGTTCATGGAGAAGGTGAGGGATGGGGAATGGCTGCTGAGCAAGTTGGAGACCTCCTGCAGAAGAGAAGAATGAAGCAGAAGTCCAGTGAAGTCACCCAGGAGAGAAGGTGGGCTGGGAGGGCGACTGACCTCATCCGACTGCCGGACGGTCTCCAGGGCAATCCAGGCCATGCCCACCATGGTGTCCCAGATCAGCCCTTTGTTCCACACTTCCACAATCAGGCCCAGGTCCAGCCGGCTGATCTCGCTGCAAAGGCGGGGAGGCGGAGGGGGGGGGAGATAGAAGAGAGATGTCAGCAACCCGGGGTGGGGGCATGAGCTCCTCACCCTGGAGTCTTTCTGCCAAGGGCTCCCCCAAATGCCCATTTGGACCACGGGGCCCTCCCTGCAGGCAGAGGTCAACTTCCGACCTGCCTCTTTGGAAAACCCCAGCTGGGCCCAATGAATGGGAAGAGCCGGCCCTGCACTGGTGCTCCTTGGCCACTAGAGGCCGCTCTGGACCCAGAAATCCAAGGCTTCCTAAGGCAGGGCTGATGAAGAGGAGGAGGAGGAGGAGGAGGAGGAGGAAGAGGCATCAGAGCCTCAGATCAAGGGCTCTGCCGGCCTTTAGCCAGGGTGGGGACAACCGTCCTCCAGGGAAAAGTCCAGATGGAGTTTTTAGAAAGGCAAAAAGCGCTTGGATTTGCCTCTGTAGCCAAACATTCACATCAATTATTTTAAGGCCATTCGTTTTAGAGCCCACCCCGTTCACTCCGCCACAATTCAGTTGCAGCTCAGTTAGTTATATGAACTCACAAGTTAATTCATTGCTTTATAAAATGCAATGAATTCAGATCCAGACACGAGATTTCCCTAGCCCAGGGGTCAGCAACCCGCGTGGCTCTGGAGCCGCATGTGGCTCTTTCATCCCTCTGCTGTGGCTCCCTGTTGCTGGTCAGCTCCACAACTGATAGGGCTTTCGGTTAGGACAGGCAGAGGAAAAAGGATGCTAGGAGGAGACTATGGTGGGGGAACCGGACTTCTGGTTGGCTCCAGAATTGAACGGGGGCTTCCGGTTAGGAGCCTTGTGGCTCTTTGAGTCTTTAAGGTTGCCCTGCCCTAGCCTGTTGCTGAGAGGAAGTCCAGATCCAGGTTTCTTGGTGCAGGATCACCAGAAGGGATCCGCTGCCAGGAAAGGCCTGGGGGCAGGGGGGCTTTGGCCAGAGCCTGTGTGCGGAGGGGAGGAGCTGGTCCCAGTGCTTCACTTACAAGAGAAAGTCCTGCTCCCAAGACGGCTGGGCCCCACGAACGGCAACCGTGGTGCTCTTGACATTTTGCACCTTCAGTGTCACGTAAGTGTTGAATTTATCTGGACAGAGGGATATATTTTTTTCATGAGTCAAATATTGGCAACTCTTTGCCAACACAAAACAGAAAACTGTGCCCCAAGAATTTGACAAACGGCCCAAGAATAACGCTGGTTAAAACTGTGGCAAGCTTTTCCACTCGAATTCCACCTGAATCATCAGAAAAGAGTTTGTGCGGATTATGGAAGGCTGAGAAAGACCTTCTGACATCATCCACCAGGGTCTCCTTCTGGGTGGGCTCAGGGGCCTTGGGAGGAGAGGGAAAGGTTGCAGTGGCTCCTTCTCCAGGGCTGGATCCAGCTGGTGGTGGTGGTGGTGGAGGAGGAGGAGAAAGGCCATCCCGAGACCTCATTTGACGTCTACGGGAAGTCCTCACTTAATGACCAGCAAGTTCAGCACAAAGCGACACAGTCGTTCAGCGACACATCACGTGAATGTGAGACTTACAACCTCACTTCCACCACCGTCATTAAAAAAGGAAGGCGTTAAAGTCCACCTCAAAGGGGAGGGACCACTTTAAGTCGGGCTGCTGGCCACCGGAGCCAAAGGGCGGAAGAGGGCCCCCATTTCCTTGGCCCGGTTGCCGCCAGTAAGCCTTAAGGACGTCTCTTCCCTCCCGCCTCCTTTTCCTCCAGTGGTGCCCTGGGCCTCCCTCACGCCCCTTCATCACCCGGGGTTCCTCTCTCGCCCTCCAAGCAGTAATGAGGCCTCAGTCAAGCTCTGACCCAGAGCGACCCTGAATTCTCAGGGCCCAGCAAGTGTCTCTAGGGCCATTCCCCACGGCCAGCTCCCCACGGGACAAGAGTTAACACTGATATCAAAGAAGTGGTGGAGTCATTAAAGAAAGGATGAAAAAGGAGGGACAGAATGAAATTGAACGACAAAAATGAACGCCCTTGTTTATTTTAAGTAATTAACCTGAATTGTGAAATTGTCCTGTGGTGAGTTGGCCGTGTCGTGTTGTCCTCTTCCGCCAGCAGGCGCCTGGGGCAGAGAGACCAAAGGGGTCCCGGGTCTCCTCGTGGCCGGGAGCAGAGCTCAAAGAGCAGCCCCAGGGGGAGAGAGGCCAGCATCCCCCAATTCCAGATGAGGCCACTGTCGGGGAGATGCACCAGGTCTAACGGCTGTCCCAATGGCCACCTTCAAATCCATTCCCAAGGAAGGAAGACTGAACTCCGCAAGGGCCACAAGCACAGAGAGGCCTCCCAGGTTCCCGGCTAGCTCAGGCTGGTGGGGGGAGGAGGGGGGTGGCTGGAATATCAGCACCAGCCCTCCCCCCTCGCAGGCCGATTTCCTGAGTGGGATCTGCAGAGCAGCAACCCCGGAGGCCATCAGAGTCTGGGGACTGGCTCTGGGTCCAGGGCTGAAGCCACCCACCCGACCCAGCCGGGCACGTCTCTAAGGCCGGAACCTTCTCCTAAAATGCCCAGCCAGGTGTTGAGAACACAAGCGAGGCCGGCCTGGAGTTCTCCTGAACATCCTCCTTGCCTGAGACGTTGGCACCAACGCCCACCCTCTTTCGTGGCCGAGCGGGCGAAAGACGCCCCTGCTGGGAACTTCTCCCACGGAGGGAAGGCCTGGAGGGAGCTTTCGGAAAGCCTGAGCACGCAATCTCTGGAAGCCTTCCAGGGGCCGGCTTAACTTCTGCACTTTATTTGCTAAACCCGTTGGCTGCCAGGTTTTCAGAGGAACAAGGATAAAAGCACACAGCAGCACGGAAAGCCACGCGGAGCAGTTAAGCCACGGCAGAAAACAATGCAGAGCAGACCACAAATCCCTCCATCCCTCCATCCCCCGGGTGCCTTCGGGAAGGGCCATCCCGCCCAGAGCCCGGCCCCACTTCCAGAGGGAGGCTGCTCCAGGAGGGCCCTGAAGGGGAGGCTCTGCCTCGGCACCTTCTCCCCACCTGCCTGGGGGTGCAGGGAGTCCCAGGCCGGGAGACCATCACCAAGACAGGGGGGGCAACTAAACCCCTGGTGGGCTACCACCCCAAAGCCAACATGCACCTACCTGGGGGTCCCTGGAGCTTTGCTTTCTTCACTGGGGGAAGAAGAAGGAGAGAGCACAAGGTGATTATTCCATGCCACAACATGACCCCTTGCCCCCCCACACCCTCCCCTCTCTCTCTCTGGGTGTTCCACATTGGGAGGGGAGAAAGAGGAGGAACACCACCCAGCAAGCTGTTCTCCTGGCCTCATCTCTGGCACAAAAGCATCCTGCTGACCAGGCTCCCCTTCGGCTCTGCCCCGACTCCCTCCAGAAAAAGTGGGGCAGAGGCCGGTTCAGAAAGAAGGGAACTTATGGTAACCTTAGAGACCGGGGGGGGGGGGGGGGGGGGGGGGGGGGGGGGTGATATAAATGGATTTATAACTGCTGTTAGGAAGAACGGAAGCCATTTCTTTATTATTCCTTCTTTTCTATCTCTTTTTCTCCGTTTGTGTTTCACTTCTTTCTCTATTACTTTTCTCTATTTCTCTTCTCTTTAACTTAAAATTTGTATTGTTTATACTGTGTGGGGAAAAAAACCCCTTAATACATATCACATACATACATGTGTAAAGAAAAACGGGGGACAGATAAACCCCAGGAATTGCCCCAAAGGGGCCCAAGCGCAGGACTGGAATTGCCCTGGGCCTCTAGCAGGGAGAACGGCACTTTCCCAAACAGACGGGATCCCTTCCCCCCCCCACCCCCACCCCGTGAGATCCCTGGTGAGGAACAGCCTCTTCTGCCAGAGGGGCTACTCCTCTGGCCCCACACATCGGCCCCAGAAACCCCCCCCCCCACTCAAGAGCAATCCTGGTCCACCAAGAGGGGTGGGGAAGGGCAGGAGGCTCCAGGGCTGCCATCTACCAGGCCAGGAAGCCTCCTGTGAGGAAAGGGACCTCCTCACTTCCTCGTTTCTCTGGCAGGGATCACCTCTGGCACTGGGGTGGGGCTGCTTTGGGGCCTTGCTGGCCCCGGGCACATTTAGGCCAGAGGGAGAGGCAGGGAGGGGGGGGTGCCTGGAAGAGAGCCAGGCTCTCAAGAGAGCACAGCTCCAGATGTGCTCGTCCCCAGCACCTCCAGTCAGTGGCAAGGCTTTCTGATCATCTTAAACCCACAGCAATCTAATCCCCAGCCTCCTGCTGCACACACGCACTCACACACACAAACGGGGAGGAGCGCATCAGGTGGCGGACCAGGGCGCTGCTGCACCTGGTGTCATTCCAGGTAGGCTGGCAGGATCAATTCCCCCGGGGCACAGCGGAGGGGGGGGGAGGAGGGGGGGAAGGCTGTGGCCTCCGAGGTGAGCTTGGCAGAGCCACCAGGAAGGAGGGGAGAAGAGCAGCAGCCGTCGGGAGGAGGGGGGAAGGGCAGCGGGTGTGCCTGGCACTGTGTGCCAGGGTGCCACAAGGCTGCCGGAGAGAGGAGCGCAAGACTCTCGGGACAGAGCCTGTGAGTCGCAAAGCACCAAGGCATTGAAGGAAGAGGCCTGCCAGGGCACCATCATGGCAGCCGTGTGGTCTGGCGTGTTCAGAGGGCACCAGCTTGGGAAAACGGAAACAGAAGGCCTGGCAACACTAGAAGGCTCATGCCAACTGCTGCTGGGGAGGAAAGGCGCCAGGGCAGGGCTGCAGCCTGAACCATCTGCGCCCCTCAGTGCCACCGCCAGACCTACCCCATCACTATTCTCCACCCCACTGCTCTTCTGCCCCATTCTCCCGGAAGGCGGGAAGGAGGGAAATGGGGACGGTGAGCAGGAGGGGACACTGGGCATCCAGTCTGTCCCCATTTCCTGCCTCCAGCTCTGCTTGACGAAGAACAGTGGATTCAGGAGGGAGGGAGGGAGGGAGGGAGGGAGGGAGGGAGGGAGGAAGGAAGGAAGGAAGGAAGGAAGGAAGGAAGGAAGGAAGGAAGGAAAGAAGGAAAAGGCCCACCCAAGAGATTCTGCCTGGAGCAGGGTGGAGAAGCCCCATCACACAGCCTTGCCTGCCTCCTGCCCTGAGCCAGAAGCAGCTGCTGGGGGAAGCAGAGGCTGCTGCTGGAGGGGGGGAGGCAATCATTATTGCAATTGGCCTAGAGAAGAGGGGCAAAGGGAGCCCCACAGCCTCCTCCCCCAGCAAGGGCCCTGTTGGCAAAACATCTGCCTTCCTTCCGGGCTGCTTCTCGTCCTTTCTCCAACTGCAGGGAAGCTGGGCCTGGCGAGGGCCTCAGCACATAAGCCGTGCCCTGCGGCAGCCCAGACTCTTGCCAACCGAGGCCCGCAGCCAGAGTGGCCCAAAGAAGCTCCCACAGCAAGGGGCTCTCCTCCCCTCAGCAGCTCAGGGGCCACGCTGGGTGCCCACGTCTCAGGACGGAGGTGGCAGAGCGAAGAGGAACTTGTCCTTGCCTTCTCAGGCCTCCTTCAAAGCAAGCCCGGCTGCTGGGAAACCTGGGGGCATTTTGACTGGGGCAGCCGTCTGGAGGTCTTCTGCCACGGCCTCCGTTTGGGGTGGAGGGGGGTTCAACCCCCCCGCCCAGCCCACAGGCCTGGGATGTCCCTGGCGGCCTCCCAGCCTGGCTGCCAGATTGGGCCAGCTGCCCCAACAGACGCAGGCCCAGATATTCCACCTGGCAACCCTCAAGAGCCATTTGTGCGGCTTCCGTTCCCTTGGCAACCCACAAGAGCCGCCATCAACCTCGAAAGCCTCTGGGAAGTTCTCTCTGCCCCTGTCCCTCGGTCTCAGGCCAAAGAAAATCCAGGTGTGCCATGGTGGGGGGGGGGGATGTTTTCCTCAGGACCCAGCGATTCCTTCTGCAACACCCTCCCCCCCTTTACTCCCTCCCCCGCCCATTCCCAAGGCCGGGTCCATCCGATTCACGCCCCACACGACCAAAGGCCTGCTACTTATTTCACCCCCAAAGTAGCAGAATCTTCTCAAGCCTCCCTGGACCTTCCTTTCCCCTCCTCCCCGCTGGCCTTGCTCCAACCGTCCAGCACTCTACCCGTATGAAGTCGGAGCCAGTTTCTTTCTCCTGCACACCTGTAGCGTACCTGGCTCCATAGCAGCAACTGCGAGGGGGATCTTGGAGCCCTAGTGGACAATCCCTTAAATCTGAGCCAGCCGTGTGCGGCACTGCCAAAAAGCCCAATGCCATCCTGGGCTGCATTAACGGAGGGACTGAATCAAGATCAGGTGAAGAGATAAGGCAACTTTATGAGGCCTTGGTAAGGCCACACTTGGAATGTCGCATCCAGTTTTGGTTGCCACGATGTAAAAAATAAAGATGTGGAGACTCTGGAAAGAGTGCAGGGAAGAGCAACAAAGAGGATCAAAGGCCTGAAGAACAGTTGCAGGATTTAGGCTTGGCCAACCTAGTGAAAAGAAGGACTAGGGCTGTGAAAGTTGGACTATAAGGAAGGCTGAGAAGGCCAAAGAATGGAGGACCTTGAACTCTGGTGCTGGAGAAGGCCCCTGCGAGTCCCTTGGGCTGCAAGGCGATCCAACCGGTCAGTCCTAGAGGAGATCAACCCTGACTGCCCTTCAGAAGGCCAGATCCTGAAGAGGAAACTCAAATCCTTTGGCCACCTAATGAGAAGGAAGGACGGACTCCCTGGAGAAGAGCCTCATGCTGGGAACGATGGAGGGCAAAAGAAGAAGGGGACAGCAGAGAAGGAGGTGGCTGGATAGAGTCACGGAAGCAGTCGGCGTGAGCTTCAATGGACTCCGGGGGATGGTAGAGGACAGGAAGGCCTGGAGGAACGTTGTCCATGGGGTCGCGATGGGTCGGACACGACTTCGCAAGTAACAACAAGGGGTGACCTGAGAGCAGTCTTCCAATATCTGAGGGGCTGCCACATAGAAGAGGGGGGGGGGGGGTGTTCAACCTATTCTCCAAAGCACCTGAGGGCAGAACTGGAAGCCATCTCCTTTGACTGGGACATTTTAGGTTTCCGCCACAATTGGCGGGAGGGAGGGCGCCTGGGGGAAGGAAGGGTGGTGATGGCTGGGTGAGTTGGGCCCTCAGGTGGCTTCGGCTGTCTTTTGTGTTGGCCACACGGTCAGCTGCCCAGAGTCTCCCTGAGCTCCGGGGCCTTTGATCAACAAATACATCTTCTCTGGAAGAAACCGCTGGCTGCTCATGTGCCAAAATGGTACCTTTAGTCCTTGACTTACAACCATTCATTTAATAACTGTTCAAAGTTACATCATCACTGAAAAGGGGGACATGATCATTTTTCACCCTTACTACCTTTTGCAGCATCCCCGTGGTCACGTGATCAAAATCGAGATGCTCGGCAACGGACTCATATTTGTGACGGTTGCAATGTCCCGGGTCACATGATCCCTTCTGGAGACCTTCCGACAAGCAAAGTCAATGGGGAAGCCTGATTCACTTAACAACCGGGTTACTAACTTGTCAACTGCAGTGGTTCACTTAACAACTATGGCTAGAAAGGTCGTAAAATGGGGCAAAACTCACTTAAACAAATGTCTCACTTAACAGCAGAAATTTTGGGCTCAATTGTGGTCGTAAGTCGAGGACTGCCTGCATTCATCTAGACCATTTACGAATGTTGTCCTTCAGGTCCTGGGAAGACCCAGGATCAGAGGAAGGGGCTCCCTTGAGGCAAAGACGGACCCCGAGATCCCTGGAGGAGGAACACGAACTGCCGAGGGAGGGTCTCCACCTCCAGCGCCTCTCTCTCACTTGGCTGGTGAGTGGCAGGAGGCGGCGTCTCCAGGCCCTTCCGGTTGGTGGCTGTTTGGGACATGCAAGTTTGGGACTGGGAAGGTAAAGGGGCAGGAGTTTAGGAATAGAGAGAGAAGAGAAGGAAGTGCAGATGCTGCAAGTCTGCAGAACTAAGAGAAAGGGGGAAGGGCCTCATATCTGAATGAAGATGGTCGGATTTTGTGAAACAGAATAGAATAAAAGAAGGGAGCCCAATGTGTAAGTTCGCTTGTGAATTAAAAGGTTAAAATGTGTGCCAGAAAGTGATCACTTGGTCCTCCAGGTTGTGGTGGGTGCCTGTGAAAGTGGGAATCCAACGGTTGGGGGTAGCAGAAGATTAAAAA